CCCCGAAAACAAGCTTCTGTTTCTTCACTACAAAGCCTTTACATGTCTGGATGCGAAGCTTTACGGACGTTATCGAGTCAGACTCCAAAACCCGTATCGGAATCACCGAACCAGCAATCGAAAGGTAAATCAATATCGACTCACCCGGTTGGCTATTGCAATAACCACGAAAGTGAACCATTTGTTGACGAACTGGACTCAAAGCAACATCGGCAACGGACATTTTCAGCAAATAATTAAGAAAACAAGGCTTTGTTTTTGTTGCCTAACTGAAAAATATGAATGAAGAAGGAAGAAAGAAATTGATTCTTTCAATCTCTTCAATGGCAGTCAAAGAGACTGGGACATAGCTGCAAAATTTGTTTTCTTGCAAGGGTAAAATCGCAAACTCGGTTCAGCAGAGACAGTGGATCCTCTGACAAAAGGAGAAGAATCGAAAGCGAATGTTAAAAAAAATGAGAGCTTTTAAATTGAACAAGAAAAAAACAAAGACTGTGGAGGTGGTGATCCAACTACCAGATTAATCCCCGATGTTGGTGCTTTTTCCGTTTCTAATTTGCACGATCTTTTCGCCGATTTTGCTCCGGTGCAAAAAAGGAAGTCGTCGACGATAAGAGGGAGAAAGAGAGGGAGAGTGGAGGAGGAACGGTAATGTAACCGTTGGCTTTATATAAGTTTTGACCCAACGATTATAATGGGGCCGTGCTTTAAATTATAATAAAACCACGGCCTTAGAGTGTCAGTAATATTATGGCAATAAGTAATATTAAGTGGTTATAATTATTTAATTATGTTATAATTTATTAATTGATTATTTAATATTTATATAATATTTAATTACAGGTATAATTTTTTAAAAAATAATTAATAATATTTTTTCAGTTTCATTTTTTATTTTTTTTTTTGGAATGTCTGGTAATAAAGTTTATTTCATTTTTGAATATCTTATACTCTTATTTTTTATATTTAAAATTTATTTTTCAAAATATTTTGACAATAAAAAATAGTATATATCAATATTATAAAAAATTTAAATTATTAAATTCAAAAATTAAAATTTCTTTTTTAATATATAAAAAATTTTAAAATAAAAAATGAGAAGCATTTGATAATGGAATTTGGAAAAAATGCTTATCATGAATCAAAATGAGATTTTATTATATATGGAAAAAAGAATGGATGCCTTTGGATTGTGCAATTAAGTTTTTTTCCTTTTTAAGTAATGCAATTCATTACTCTCATATGACTAATAGTTTTAATTTGGTATGGCAGTTAAAAGCTAATTAAGAGTGTGGTTTATCCTCTAATCAAAAGAATTAACATATAATTAATGAATTAATAATGATTCGCTCTTTTGTCTGGCATCCCGGTTAAGGTTCACAGCCCTAGCTATCAGCCTCCCCTTTCTTTGTGTGCTTAAGGGGAGCTCTAGGTGCAAGGTCCAAAGTTCATTGTGTTGCGTACGTAAAGAGCCCAAATTCTTCTTGCAAAACTGTTAAAGTACTCGCCCACTTCGTCGTTTAATGCATTTTTCTGTCTCAAGCCAAACCCTCGTCTTCTCCTTCGTAAGGGAATCAAGATTCTTTTTTAAATTTTATAATCGGAAATTTTGTTATTTTTATTCTATAATTCAATATTAAAATTTTAATTTAGTTGATTTTAAATAAAATTAACAAATTAAAATATTTCATGAAATATTTTATTATTTTAAATTGCAAATTTGTCATTATATTTTTAATTTTTGGACAAAAAATAACGAAATTAATTCAAAAATGTTATGTTAATATAATGATAAATTTCTATAATTTTCTTATTTTATATAAAAATAAATAAAACTAAAATTATAATAACAAAATCTAATATTGACTCATAATACATTGATAAATTTGATCTTAAACCTAAAAAATCAATTTCGTAAATAGTCTTAATTAATTGTGTTACGCTTATGTCAATTGATTAACGATCAATTTGATTAAGGCTTGATCAATACAATCATATCTTGGGGTCATCTAGATAAGGCACACTTAGACAACCATATCATTTGCTCTCGAAAATAGCTCAGCTTTTGCTAAAGGAAGGATTCGTCGAAGGTTCACTGACAATCTATTAAGATAGTTATTTCATAATTAACCAATTGATATCTAATTTATTTGAAATAATTAAATATAACTTATGTCTACTTGAAATTATTAAATGCGACTTACATATATTTATGTGAATCTTTATCGAGCTCCATTCAAACATTCTATTAATTATCAATTGTTCTAATTAAATCATTATCTCTTAATCTCATATATAAAGTAATTGAAAAATTAGGTTCACAATGAGAACAAAAACACCTAACCCTCCTCCATATTCTCTTCATTGAAACTTCTCTCGTACATTTAACAATTTTTATCCTTTTTACTTTTCTTATCCTTTCTTAGATACAATACTGACTTATGACTTAAGCGTTGGGTGCACTTCGGAATAACAATTACAACGCTCCCTAATTGTGTTTTTTAGTTGTAGGTTTTAATTGTCTTTCTTCCAACCTCACTTCATTTTTTTCCAACTAAGACAACCCAAAAGCATCATCGGCAAGTTAAAATCTTAAACTTAAATAAATAAGACAAAATATATTTATCTGTCTATCATATAGCAATTCCACCAATCCTTTATGATTGAGGGAAATAATAAATTAAATCAAAGTTTGAAGAGTGAAGCTTAAATTAATTAACCTAGAGGGAGGCAGGCAGGGCAGCAAATTTAATTAATTGAAGGAGTTGTTGAATCTCGCATGCAACTTAATGATGTGTCCACGGCTTGTTATCTGCCTTGAGATATGCAAAGCTAAGATTGATGGCAACAGGTAAGGAAAGGTTCATCGAAAGAATAGGTTAAAGTACATGCAATGAAAGAAAGTTCCAATGTAATGAGATTTGGCTTTAAAGCTTTAAACTACCAAAAAGAAAAGACATTAGGCAGGTTTAGGGATGGCAATCAAGCCCGACCCCGACGGGTTTTGGTCCGATCCGATCCTATAGGATTGGTTTTTTTTTTTTTTTTGAATTTTGGATTTCGGGTCGGAGTCGGGTCGGGTTCGGGTATGCCTAAAACCCGACCCGATATTATTAAAAAATTATTTTTTAATTAATTAATTATTTATTTATTTATATATATATTTATATAATGATATTTTTAAATATTTATATTTAAAAAATAATATTTTATATTTTAAAAAATAATATTTTATTAATTTCAGGTCGAATAGGATCGGATACGGTTTACATATTGTCGGATCGGAGTCGGATATTAAAATGATTCGGATCGAATCGAGATCGAGTTTGATGAGCAAAAAATCGGGTCAGATTCGGGGCGAGTAAAACCCGCCCCGAACCCGACCCGATGTCATCCTAGGCAGGTTTAGCTGCCCGTAACATAGGAAACTGCATTATGTTTCATCATGAATTATCAAGGAGAAAGTGGGCCTTCAGATCTTTTGGAGTATTCTCTTTAGTGGCTACATTATTTGAGATAAATGGTAGATAAAATAGGAAGATTTAATTTAAAGTTGATAGAAGGCAATGCTATACGGTTTTTCAAAAGAAAATACCAAATTAATAATTGGAACTCAATTAAAATTTTTAAAAATTTGGAATTAAAATAAAATTTTATCCAAAATTTATAAATTACGAAGTGCTGTTAATTTGTTAAAAAATAAAGGAGAAAATAAGTGTATTAAATTTATAATTTGCAAGAGAATTTTCCTTTTTTTTTTAGTAACGAGGGTATGGAAAGATTTTTAAAATAAAATTTTAAATGCATCAAACTATGCATGAGAGTGTATTTCAACATTTTTTTAAAGTTAATTTTAGACAAAATTTAAAGATATATATAATATGTTAAATTCGTTAGTGAATCAATATTTGTCATACCAACCATTTCCTTTATGGGGTGTGGGATACCAAGAGCAATTATCAATGGTTTAGCTTAGGATTGATATTTATGAATAAATAGGAAATTAGCAATACATTATATACTTGCTATCATGTCTCATTCATATATTTAATTATAATCATCAAAAATCACGAAGTTATAATTTGAACCAAAACTATTCATAATTCGATTTTAATCATATTTATCAATTAAATTAATTTAATTTAATCAATCGATCGATTATTAAATTAATTTTGATTGTTATTAAAATTAAAATATTATAAAATTTATATATAAAACTAAAAATATATTAATTTGTTTATTTAATTACAAGTTGTTAAAATTTTTAACTTAATATTTTAGTGTTTGAATATTTATTTCATTAAAAGTTATTAGAGTTTTTAATTTAATATTTTAGTGTTTAAATATTTTTATTAGATAATTTTATTTAATTTTTTTCACATATAAAAAAATAAAAATTTAAAATATAATTTAATTTAATGCATTTTATTATTCAATTAATAAAAAAATTAATCGAATTGACTGAATTAATTTTGATCAGTTAATTTTTAAAATTAAAAAATTTGATTCAATTAATAAAAATAAAATAATATAACTCAATATATTTAATTTTAAATAATACAATTCAAAATTAATTGAACCGGTTGAATGAATATTTTTAATTTGAACAAATTTATTACTTTGTGGAATTTACTTTAGAAAAAAAAAAAGGCAAAATGCTCCCATATTTGATCTTAAGAAATTGCTTCAAATAAAAAAATTATTCTTAAAATGATCAACAAATAAAAGATTTTCGTGAATTGTTACATTTTTCACACGTACATAGCTCATCAATTATATTTATTTTAATTATTTTCCTTCTTTTTTTTTAATTTTGTTACTCTCTTGAATAAGGATGCTAGCAAGCTTGATGACATGCATCAATAATAATTTGTCTAGTAAAAGTAAATTGTAAGATTAATCTAAATTTTAAAAGTTGCTTTTTAAAAAATTTTAATTATTGTTTTATTTTTAAAAAAATAAAATTATATTTTTATTACAAAAATACATATGCTCCACATGAATGTAACATATATAATTCATCTAATTCTGTTGATGCTACTATATCATATTTCCATTTCACATTTGATTATCTAAGAGCAAACAATGAGCGGGAACCAGTCACTTGGGTTCAAAAAAGGAAAAGAAAAAAAATTTTGAATTATAGATATAAAAAACATTTGATTGAATCCAGCATGACAAAACAGAATGTATTTATAAGTTGCAAACAGAACTATGGATCCTACTGTCTTTCCATCCTCTTGATGCCCCTTCGAAGGTAACCACAAACACCCCCTTGTTCTCCATAAGAGATTTTGCTCAAATTTTCTAGCATGTTGAAAAGAAAATTCAAGTCTGTCTTCTTCATCTGTTACTCCTAATCTGGGACTTCAAGTGTTCAGTACAAAGCTGGGAAATGCAAGGGTTAATTCCCTGAAAAATAATACCAGAAATACAAAATCAGGAAGTTAGATGACAGATATTGTCCAAACCAAAATACATTTTTATCCATCACCAATTAGACTCGAGCTGAAACGAAAGAAGTTTAGAACCCACTTCAAATACGGAAGAGTCATGTTCTTCATGACAGATGGATTCTTTTTCACAAATTCCCTCCATTCTTCTTCATCAATCTTCCCATCTCCTTTTGAATCTGCCTCCATCATTGTCTACACAAATATGACGAGGATGAATATCCAGAGAGCAGAATGATAAAAATGTAACAAATTAAACAGTTTACAATGTCCAACACCTTTTCCACAATCAATTCCACCATATCATTGGAGAGTGACAGATCTAATTCACTAAGCAAAGCCAATACCATCTCTTTCATCTTCCATTTAGGTCATACAAATGAAAAATGAGATGAACAATCAGAATCCCAATGTGATGATCAAAACAACAAGATTGAATGGTAAAATACTAAATTATAGAAGTTCTAAAATAATGAAAATGGAAACAGGGTGACAAAAGCACTACATCAAGCAGATGAGATAGCATGCCACCTTAGAAGACCTCACACCAAAACAAGAAATATTATATCAATCCTTCTGGAAAACGTGAGAACAATGTAATGGAAAGAAAAAGTACATCCAACCTGGAAACTCACATTTTATTTGCAATTCCATGTGAAAAGCATTATCCCAACAAATCTTGCAACCACTTAAGTTCAAAATAATGAAAAACTAGCAGCTTCAAAGAGATACTATGCTGGTTGAAGGACGATAAGTTTCAGTAAGGAACAGCAGATAGCATGCAAAAAGCAACTTTCATAAAAAATAAAGTGTCTTGTCATTGATACTGATGTTTTCAAAAGCAAACAAAGATGACAATCAAAGTTACAAAGTACTTACCTCTTCACTCTCAATGTAGCCAGTCTGTCGTAGGTCATACAATCTAAATAAGACTGGAATAAGATATATTTACTAACTTTAGTTGCCAGTTGTAAGAATGAGAGCCTTGAAAGATGTATTAGCATGACCGCAAACAACATCCAGGCAGGAGAAAAGGAAGATAAGATAACATTTTATCTATGATACACATTACGTACATGCAATTTTATCTGCTTCGGGAGCACTTGGATGGAAGACACTTAAAGACCGAACGAACTCTCCAAATTCAATAACCCTGTTACATTTAACATCGAATAAATGAAATACCTGCAATAAACTCAATACAGCTTGAAGAATGTTCTGTGAATTAGCATGTATAAAATGTTGAAACAAAATAGTTAGGAATGAAGTGATACTCACTCTATCGGCAAAGAGATTCTGTTTACTGCTGTTTTTAAAAAGTGCAAGCTGGAATTCCTCCTATTCAGAAAACATTCCAAAGAAATTATAACTTAAAGGAAACGCGTCTCTTAAGTCAAAGAAAATGGTGCAAGAACTCAAGTTAATCTTTCCAAATTCGAAAGAAGCAATGACTTCCAGAGTGCCCTTCAAACAGTCAAAGGTAAACCCCAAACAGAAATCACGTACATGAACCAAAGTTGAATGAATATACCTTGTGAATCAGACCATCGTCAATTATGGAGCTGCTTAACTTCTTGAACAGATCATACAGAGCTTCTACTTCATTCACAGCAACTGTCAAATTATAAGAAATGCTCTACACTTCGCCAAGTAAATAGAACAGAAACTACCCAAAGTAAAATAGTACAGATAGCACAAATTAATAACCAGGAAAATTTTATGAATACAGCATGCTGATACGGCAGTATATTCAATTAGATAAGAGCCACTCTATACTACTGAATAATTAGATAAGCCCCAGTTGCTTATAGGCTCTTGACATGATTATGATCTAAGGTGGCCCCTAAGAAGTCAGAACCCAGCCAATGTCAACAAGGCAATGAGCATGAGGGAGTTATGCCAGGGATGAGCAATAGCAAAATGATGCCAAAATAAACTTTGGAAGCCAACAGCTAATCATCTGCAGTATAGAGAAAATAACCACACATGGGTGCAAGGCATAGGCAATTCAGCCCACAAACAGAAAGAGAATGTAAATGGACAGTAATGAATCGGGAAAACTTGGTTGATGCAAGAATGTGGTCAACCGTGACATTGACCTAGCATATGCTGAAAGGTAATGCTTGCATAGACAGGGCAAGACACCATTGAAGTGATTTTAGATTTAGATTTGAGCCCATCAAGTGCTAAGTTTAAGCCTTTACCTAAGACTTGATGGTTGAGATGGTTGCTGATCCAACTGGTGTTCGCTCAACTGGCAGGCATGCGGAAAACGCAAGGCATGTATGGGACAAATTTGGTCCATGACCAGAAAACATGAACTTTCATCCAGCCTCATAAGCAGCGGCCTATGAAGGTGGCATAGGCAGGCTAAATGTCCTTTCCACAATGACTCTTAAAACTACTCAAGTTTCAAAGTTTCACTGCATAGTTATGCTCTAGAAGTACACTGTTTCTAGTTGTTTGTTTCACAGTTCTCCCTCATTCATTTGGCACAAATTTAAGAACTTAGTGCCAATGGATACAAATTGCAAAAAGAAAAAGACCAAAATATATAAAGAAAAAACATTCATTAGGTTCATTCTTCACTGTCTAACTTACAATGTGTTTCAGAAGCAAGAGCGATAGGCTCTTCATACCCAGGTTTGTGTCTAACTTTCTTCAAGCCAAAGCAGCGCTTGAAAGCATCCATAACTAATTCAACACAAGATTATATGTGATGGAATTCGTGAAAATAATTCTGCCCAATGAGTCCTGCCACATCCAAAGGGAATTTAGATCAATCCATCTTTTAATCCTTAATAAATTAAAAGTATTGTAATTTTGCGATTAATTCTCTCCTAAATTCTACTACTATATTGTACTGATCAGAAGAGACAGCCACCATTAACAGTGTCAGGAAAAAGATATGCCATGGAATGAATCACTTGATTTTGGTTTGCTCAAAATCCATATTTAGTTAGAAAATTGACAAATGGATCGAATATCTACTAAACTCGATTGCCAGGAGTGGGTATTGGAATTAGATTCTCTTAATTACTTGAGCTAATTCCTTGAATATAAAAGGCACTTGGTCCAAAAGAAATGAAGATCCCAAAAAGGCAGGAAATCATGCTTGAAGTGAACATAACTAGTTTTACAGACAGAAAGATACTGCAATTAAAGTTCTTCTATTATAGCTGTAAGACCCAAAATAACATGAGAGAAAAAACCTCAAAACAAAAGAAAAAAAAAGGTGAAATTGTCCCACAATCCCAACTTCTCCATTCCTTCAAAACAACCAAGAACCATGCTTCTAACTGAGTTAAACGAATTCATCCCAGAAAACAAAAACATTATTTAAAAGACGATAGCAGTTCATGATCTATCAAACAGATGAATTTCCTACCATATCCATGAACAAGAAAACCAACACTTATTTTTCAGACAAAATAAAAATACCCACTTCCAAATATAAAGCTGAAACATCAAACTAAAATCATTTATGATGAAATGACAAGAGACATGATAGATTTTGGCGCATGAGTTGACCTTTCTGGTGCTGTTTATGTTCAAACTTGAAAAGAAAAAAAGATGGGTGATTTCAGAACTCCATTTATTAGTTTACGCCAGCTCTGTACTCCACTTTGATCTTCTTCCTTTTCTTGTCTGTGCGTGGCTTTGCAGTTTATAACGGCTGATGACATCGCTTTATTTCCTGACTAACTCATCTTCCATCCAAATTTCAAGAAAGTATTTTTAAAATCTTCGCTTTTTAGGCAGACAACGTGGATAAACCATCGTCCCAGTCCTAACTAAACGTGTAAACTACACCTGTAATCAATCGAATCCAGTCAATACAGTATAAAATTTGAATTAAAATATAATTAAAAATTTAATTTAAATTTTATCAAAATTTTTTTAATTCGAACTTGATTTAATAAAAATTGAATTATTTAAATTTATTCAATTAAATTTAATTAATATATAAAAATTATTAAAGAGATAAACTATATTTGAAGTCTATAAAAGTATATTAGAGAGACTATACATATATGTTACACATTACTTAAACTCAAAAACTTAAACAATTAAATTTTTGAATCTTTTATATATATCTCTCATTTATTTGTGAATTTTGATCAAATTTCACATCGGGATAGGATGACAATTACTTAAATTCGTACGTATTGCCAGAAAAGCAAAAAGATTAACAGGTCAAGTTTTACTACAATTACTTGAAATGCGTTTGGATAACATTATTTTTCGATTGGGTATGGCTTCAACTATTCCTTAAGCTCGCCAATTAGTTAACCATAGACATATTTTAGTAAATGATCATACAGTAGATATATCAAGTTATCGCTGTAAACCTCGAGATATTATTTCAACGAGGGACGAACAAAAATCTAAAACTCTGATTCAAAATTATCTTGATTCATCCACCCATGGTGAATTACCAAAGCATTTGACCATTCACACATTACAATAAAAATGATTAGTCAATCAAATAATAGATAAGAAATGGAGTTTAAGTTATTAGGTTATTGGATCCTTCATGCATATTTCTCGTTCACTTATAACTTTTGATTAAGTTTCACATCGGTTTCTTGTGTGAGTAAGTCTTATCAATACTTCTTTTAGATCAAACAACAACCTCATTTTGTAGTACACTTTTGGGCCACGCCACAACACTCAATCTTACCACCTAAGTTGTCTTAGTGTTCCCTTAAGCTTACACTTACATTCTAAGTTGATTCAACACATTGTCTATTTGATCAATTTGCTTTTGCATATTATCATATATTTACTGTATCCAAGTCAAACCCTTTTAATATCAACGTTCAAGCACATGGACAACACCTTCTGAGACTCGAACCTATTGTATCAAAGTCAAACCCTTTTAATACCGATGTTCGAGCACATGGGCAATACCACTGAAACTCGAACCATCTTTAACCTTGGCTCTGATATCACTTGTTAGGGAGATAAACCACACTTAGAGTCTATAAAAGCACATTAGAAAGCTCATACATACATGTTGGACGTCACTTAAATCCAAAAGCTTAAGCTATTAAGTTTTTGAGTTCTTCGTATATATATAGGACATTTCATTCAGATTTTCTAATGATATATGATATTTTTACTCACATATGAACCATATCTCAACAAAAATAAGTTTAATTCTTATAATCGACAAAAACTCAATTATTTATGTTTGAGCTTAAACTCTAATTTGAAATATTCTATTAATTAAAATAATAAAAATATATTTAAATATAAAAATTCGATTAAGTTTGCAAACTACTCGGTTAAGTATAAAAATATTTAAACTCTACTCGATCGATAAATTGAGTTATTCGAATTCAAGTTTAATTCGATAATAATCGAATCAAATTTAAATTTTATTCTAATCGAACTTGAATAACTTACGAATATTAATATATCATTTATATTCTTAGTCCTAACTCTTATATTTCAGTTGCAGTAAAAGTGGAGAAAAAATTTGATAAAATTGAAAATTCATTTCAATACTTTTTATTTATTTATTTGATTTCAATTAAATTTAAATATTATATATATGTCAAATTTAAATTAAAAAAAATAAAAAAAATAGTTTTTATTAATTTATATATTTTTTAAATTTGTATTGAATAAAACTAATTATTTTATATTTAAAATTATATTAATAATATATAAAAAATTAAATTTCTTAAGCAATCGGATCTAACCATTTGAAAAAAATAAAAAATTTAATCAAATTAAAAAAATTCATAATATAATATATTATTAAAAAAAAATTGAATTGAATTTCAAACGGATTCAAATCATTATCATTTCTATCCAGTTGAACATGTATTATACGGTTCCATACAGTTAGTTTCCCTATCCAGTTGAACATATATTATAAGGGTCTTTTTATTTAGACGGTTCCATACAGTTAGTTTTGTACCGTTCAATTTGTTGCAGTAACAACCATGGCCGCTGCCCCCATAATTAGTTTTTAATTATTTAAAAAACTTGTTCACCTAATTAAAAATAATAATAAAAATTATTGTATTTATAATTAAAAAAATTATTGTCATTATGATTAAAAAAATTTTAATAAAAAATTTATATTAAATAAATTTTATTAAAATTGACATTTAAATTCTACACTAAAATTACAATTACATCCAAATGGCCACTAAATATATTCAATCAAACTCCAAAAAGGATGCAAATTAGTATCAGCTCTAATTATTAACACAATTAACATTTTAACATCAAGTTCACAATACATTTTTAAAACCTTCACTCCAAGTGAGCAATATTTTAATATATAGAGTAATAAATATATATAAACTATATGTAAAGATTAAAGTAAAATTCCATATAAAAAAAGGAAAATTTGAGAATTTTTCTGATTTTGGTCTTTTTATGTTCAATTATAAGTATTTCCATTATTTCAAAGAAATCAAGAAAAAAAATCCAATATAATTTACCAATTTTCCACTTTATTTTTTACTTTATTCAGAAATAATTGTTTTCATGTTAATATATTAATTTAAATGTAAATGACAATCTCATTTCCTTTTTTTTTTTTTTTTATGACAAATGTTGAGGGACCTAGGGAGAAGAGAGTGCCCCCACATTGGGCTTTAAAGCCCAAGTTTTATGCCGGGTTAGCCGGAGCTGTCGAAACCAGTCAAAAACAATCCGGCCCACTTTGAAAATTACTTATCTAAATTTCAAAAGTCCCAAAAAAAAAAAAATTGTTTTCAATTTTCGAAACCCGCAATTACAAACCGGCCCTTTCATCATCCTCATTACTCCAGCGAGGCGGACGCGAGACAGGAAATGGCGGTCCTCTTCTTTCACACCTAAATCCTAATCATTTTACTCAAAAGGTAATTTATCTTTTATTCAGCCTCCTAATTCTCCTATTTCCCCATCTAATCTCTCAAAAATTTTTAATTTCTAACTAAATTGACATTCCTAAACTCTCGTAAAAAATCTCCAATTCTCTGACCTTGGCGACTTGATCAAGCTTTTGAAAACCCTAGATATACATATTTTTTTTATTATTCAGATTTTTAGATGATATTGATTTTTCCTTAGCTGATTGTGGTTATTGTTATAAATTTTATTTTAACTTGGACAGGTTTGTAGTTTTTGAAAAAAAAAAATGGATGTGGATTTGGTTGCAAGTGGTATTTTGGAGGAGGATACTATTCCACTTATTGATCACAATACTGTAAGCTTCTAGTTTATTGTTTTTGGATTTATAGTTAATTTAACTATTTTATTTTACAATATCATTTTTATTTGAAATGGTATCTGATATATGTTGTGTTTTTTAGCTTGAAAGGTGAAAACTATAGTGTTACATTAGTGAAAAAAAAATTCAAACGCTTGCAATGGTTGCAATGGTTTACAATGGTTGTTTGATTTAGAACAATGTGAATTTTTTTTTTTTTATAAAATTTGCAGGATCTTTCTAATTTTGAGGGTGGAAGATGTGGGATATGCATGGATATTATTATTGACAGGGGGGTTCTTGATTGCTGTCAACACTGGTATTTATCATCAAATTTTTTTAGTTATTTTTGTTATCTTCATTTTTACGCCCTGCGGCTTCTTTAACTAGTTACTGTGGTAGCTAGAAAACTCTTTTTCTTTATGGCACTAGATGGGTGGTTAGGCATCTAGTTTTCCTTGATTATTTTCCTGCAATTTGGATGATATTCTTGATGACAATTATGTTTATCTCAAAGACTAATGAATCTTCTTCCTCAAGGAGTCCAGTTAAAGTGAAGAAGCTTTACTGTTATTTTGTTTTCACTCTCTAATTTAATGGTTTTTCTTTTAAACTTAGCGTTTCATTCAGATTGATTTTAAAGATTCAACTAGTGTTCTGATGTCTACGAATTTTGTTTCATGGACCAAATACAAATTTGAATTTGATCATGTGGGTTCATCTTATGATTTCAGGTTTTGTTTTGCATGTATTGACAACTGGGCAACAATCACAAACCTTTGCCCACTTTGCCAGAGTGAATTTCAGTTGATAACTTGCGTCCCAGTGAGTGATAAATAATTCTTGAAGTATTGAATTTGTCTCCCACATTTTTACGCTAATTATTTTGATCTACCATTGTGATTATGGAGGTATATGATACCATTGGAAGCAACAAGGTTGAGGATGAGTCATTTTCTAGGTACTTTTTCATTGTGCTTTTTTCCACCTATTAGTTCTGCTTGTCCATCAAAAGAAAAAAAAAATAGTTTATGTTTGACTCTAAAACCTTTATGTCGTACATCATGGTATGCATGTTTCTTGTGCGTTTAAAAGTCCTTTGATATATTAATCAATGACTTCATCTTTCAACTTTAACATTAAACAAAACATTGCAATTTTGTAGCGTGGATTAGATATCAGAGGTTAAATATGTTTATGGGATACTCCTAACTTATTTATAATATTGACATTCATGATTCCAAGTAAGAAAATTTAGAAATTAAATGATTTTATTAATGATCCTGTCTGATATAATAAATACATTCAAAACGAATATATTATCTTTATAAGAATTATGGTGATTGAGGTGATGAGATTGTTCTTTACGTTCCAATTTTGACGTCTTTCTTCCCTTTTTATCTATGCAGAGATGATGATTGGTCAATTGAAGGGAAGAGCAACACTCTTTCTTTCCCATCATACTATATTGATGAAAATGTAATTATCCTACATCTCCTATCTATTGAGGTTTCTTGCTATTAAACAAATGGGACTCATAAAGTTCTTCTACTTTCCTGAATTGTTAAAAATTCAAATTGTCCAGCTGAAGAGTTGGCCAACATTGGGCTTTAAGATGTACAGTTTGCTAGGTTCATCTATGGTTAATACTGCATCAATACATATTTGTAACTTTGTCCAGGAGTACTCACGATATTGCTTTGTTTCTATAACTAGGATCCAGCATTCAAGACATTTTTTCTTTATGCATGATGGGATGGTAATATATAGCTTCAACTTGGATGAACCTGCTACTGAAATGCATTTGTCAAATGACAAATTCCAGGCATAATATTAAGTTAGAAGATATAAATGCTGATGGCAATGTTAGTCTGAACCAATTGCAGACGTACTTTGATACTTTGTCTAGGACAGTGAACATTCCACGCAGAAGATAGTGTTATTATGTGAATGAAGATGGAACTTCTTATATTTAACATTCATTGTTTATTTTATTTTGTCTACGTGTTTGTAGTGAATGACATTCACCATGTAAACCTTACATACTTGTCTTTTTGTAGGCAGTTATTTGCTTGGATGGGGATGGCTGCAAAATTCGAAGTCAATCCACAATTATTGAGGGAGATCCCAATCTCGATACATCAATTGCCTGTGACTCTTGTGATATATGGTAAACTTGAATCTTTTATTAGACTTCAAATTTATGATTGTTCTTTCCCTTGTTACTTTTGAATCTATCTTTTTTCTCCTTTTATACATTTTTTTTCTTATTTGGGTAAGGTTCAAATTTACCACTCTCTTAGGGTGATGGATAAATTTACCTATTATCTCAAACCGGTGCAATTTTATACTTTTTAATTTGGTTAAAAAAGGGTAAAAAAATTAATGGTAAAAGAATATTCTGCTAGAAAATAAAGGAATATTCTACATAATATTCTAACTTTTGACTAATTTTGAACCAAATTAGAAAGTAGAATGGTAAAATTGCACCCATTCAAATATAAGTGGTAAATTTGAATCATCACCCTAAGTACAGTGGTAAATTAGGATCTTATCCCTTCCATATTTTACAACTTCGATTTTAATGTGTTCGATGCTTTTTTTTGTTTGTTTTTGCTTCTTCTAATTGTAGGTTGACTAATATCAATTTGTAGTAATGTTATCCCTTAATTGTTTTGCCAACTTGAAATGGTGACAGGTATCATGCATTTTGCGTGGGGTTTGATCCTGAAGGTACATCAGAAGACACATGGTTATGCCCAAGGTAGATTTGGAGAGAGTGATTAATGTGGGTTGTTGTTGTTCTTTGTTCCTCAATTCATCATGGTCCTCTAGATATGCTAAATTAAAGTAGCATGTAGCCAGTATGAATGGAACTTTGGGAGAGGTTAAGTCATAGTGTGATATATATGTACTGGAATTGACTAGCATGGAATGCACTTTAAGGGCTTCTTACATTAGCTATTAGATCAGTTAATAGTAAATGAAATATCTCTAAGGGGGAATAAATTTCTCAATTAGTTCAAAGTCATTTGCCATTTTGGCTTAAAATATTTTCAAGTTGAATGTTGAAATGTGGCTTTTTTGTTTTCTTTGACATGAATTTCTACCTTTATGAGTTCATCCAGAAACTTTTTGTTGTCTTTTTTCCCCTCAGGTTCGTTCGTTTCGCAGAAAATAACTTTTGGAAAATGTTTATATTTTCTTAATTGAAAGAGAATCTTCTATTATTTGAATGAGTTTATGAAAAATGTTTTTCGTTGTTTGATTGTTTTCTTAAAAAATGTTTTTTTAAAAATAATATTAATATAACTATTAAAATATTAAAAATTATATATTATTATAGTATGTTGAAATTATTTATTATTAAAATTATTATTATTAAAAAATTAATTATATTTTAATAATAATATTTAATATTAAAATATTATGTTAATTTAAAAATACTTAAAATAAAACTATTTATTATTTTTATATTATCTATTAATATATTGTAATATTATTTATTAATATATTATATTACTAGTATATTATTTATTAATATATTATTATAATATTTTTAATTAATATAATAATATTTATTAATATAATATTATTTATTAGTATAATTATTATTAGTATATTATTAATATAATATTATTTATAAATAAAATTATGCTCAAAAGCATTGATAAATAGTTTTACTCATAAACAGCTCTTTTCCGGAAAATCTTTTCCCCTTTTCAAATCCGGAAGACAATTTTCAGAAAAATGGTCTTATATTCTGTTGACCAGTAAGTTATTTTTCATTGGCCAGCCAATTTTCTGCCAAATAAACACTTGAAAATGCGAAATTACTTTTCGGAAGTCATTTTTCGCGAAACAAATGGTGCCGTACTCTTCTCTAACATTTATGTTCTGGTTTTAATTTTACTGCAGATGTGTAGCAAATCAAGCTTCACAAAAATCTGATGTGATTCCTGAGAAAACAAACAACCAGTATGGTCCAGAGATAGCTAATAGTGAATATGTGACAGAAACTGCTTTATTTGGGAAGTTGTCTGTTTCTATTGCGGATACCGGCGAGACAGCTGTCATTGTCTCAAGGGTGGGAGGAAAGCAGTGGACTGAAGAGCCAAGTGAAAACTTTTTGTCGAACCTTGAAGTAAAAAATGGCCAGAAAATTGAGCTATCTAACTCTGATGACAATTGTTGCGATACAGAGAAACCATCGTGTGATAAGAGCACTATGCAACCAATCTTAATGGGACAGGAGCTGCAGTTGTGTTTATCACGCAATACATTCTCCTCTTCACTTCCAAATTTTTCAGTGCATGATGAACTTAAGACTAGTCAAGCTGCAGAAACAATAAAAGAACCAAGCAGCTTAGATGGTGTTGGAAATACTTTAGGAAAGTCACTGAATGAATCCTTTGCAAGGAGCCAATTATCTGAAAGTGAATCCAGTTTGGGTCTTCATCTTGGTTTATCAATAGGCTCATTTCTGTCTGGTAAGTTAACAAATGTAAGAGCTGTCTTTATCTTTTAAAATTTAATAATCACAGGGTTACTAGAGCATACAACTGAAGTTTTATATCTTATGCACATTTCACTATATCTAAACCTTTTGCTTAAAGTTGATGATGATAGGAAAGGTGGTGGAAGCAAAGATCAGCTGAATCCAGAGTATGAGCATCAGAGTCACATGGAAGAGCTGTCACCGCTAGGTAAATAAGAAAGTTATCATGAAGCATTCTTCCTATCTTGATACATTTTCCCTCTTGTTATGGTAGCTGTATGTAGGTGAACTTTTACCCAACAGGTAGTTTTGTGAGATTTTCTTTTAAGCAATTCATGTGAGTATGATGCAAACTGCCTTCTTATTTGCTTTCAGATGAGAAAACTGAACCTGATAAGGAGGAAAATGCTGGCTCAATAACTGGTTTAAAAAGGAAGCATGCATATTTCAGGTTCCTTCTCAATTAATGTCCATTGTAATGCTTCTATTTATGTTGTTTAGGTTTCGTTATTTATTTACCTATGTCACTAGTTTTTTTTACTAGTTGCCATATTCCCTTTTCTTTTCTCTTTTAGGGGATGGGGGTGGGTAGGAAATATGTCTTTTGGGCAAATAATGCTTCTATTTATGTTGTTTAAGTTTTGTTATTTTTTACCTATGCACTAGTGTTTTTTTTCCTAATTGTTATATTCTCTTTTCTTTTTTAAGGGTGGTGGGTGTGGGTGGGGAAGATTTGCTGTTGATTTGTTCGTTAAGTTGCATCATTTTCTAAATTTTTCTCATTTTAAAATTTTGCATTCTTCATTTCATTTGCTTAAAATTCTTGACTTGTCCTCCCTGATTCTTGATATGCATTAGGAGTGATGTTGTTATAAGTTCTGATGGTGAAGAAACCAAAGGTAAGAATGAGACTGAAGCTTTTGAAAAGAAGATTAGAGTTGAGGGATTGGTTCATACGGCTCCAGACAGCCAAGGTAATGCATCTGTATCAGATGATACGCTAAAAAGCCCTACTCTGAAAGCCGTTTCTAGAGATGGCAAGGTAAAAAATCATCCAGAAAAGGAAGATTCCATTCCTAATATAATGAGTATTGTTCAGAGTACAAGCCGTAGAACTTCTTCCAAGGGGCTTGGATGTCGAAATCCTGCTGATGAATCCCCAAAAGGAGAAAATTCAGTTGGCTTGAGAGTCAAAAAAATCATGAGGAGAGCATCTGAGGATAAGGAGTCATCCGTTGTTGTGCAAGAACTAAGAAAAGAAATTAGGGAGGCTGTCCGTGACAAATCCTCTAAAGAATTTGGAGAAAACCTTTTTGACCCAAAACTTCTTGCTGCTTTCAGAGCTGCTATATCAGGACCAAAAACTGAAACCGTAAAAAAATTATCACCTTCGGCTGTGAAGATGAAGAAATCCTTGTTGCAGAAGGGTAAAGTTCGTGAAAATCTAACGAAGAAAATTTATGGAGATTCTAATGGAAGGCGGAGACGTGCATGGGACCGGGACTGTGAAGTTGAATTTTGGAAGTATCGCTGCATGAGAGCTTCAAAGCCTGAAAAGATTGAAACTTTGAAGTCAGTTCTTGACCTCCTACGAAAGAATCCAGGGGGCTCAGAGGGGGTGCCAATATCTGAATGCCAGGCATCCAACCCCATTCTTTCCAGATTGTATTTAGCAGATACATCTGTTTTCCCACGGAAGGATGATATAAGGCCCTTGTCAGCACTTAAAACTACAGGTAGTTCTGAACACAGCAGAGAACATGTTTCAGTAGAAAAAACTCCCGTGTCATCTCTTGATATTCGTACTGTAAAAAATATGGAAGCAAACAAGGTTTCATCAAAGCTTGGTGTTCTGTCAACTAATCTTAAAGGAACTAAGACAAGTTTTTTGAACTCAAAAGGTACTGCTACCTCTAGTAAAGTCAATTCTAACAGAGGTTCAGAAGGGTCTTCAACGTCTCCATCAAGTAATTCTAAAGTTGAATCGCAGAAGGAAGTGGCTGCGAAGTCTGATGATGTAAAAGTTGATAAAAGGAAATTGGCCCTGGCAGTGCTTGCCAGGAAAAGGGCGGCAGAGAGCAAAAACGGAACACAAGAAAGGCAGGAGGATAATGCGGTTTTTAAAGGAAACTATCCCTTGCTAGTATGCAATTTTTTGTTTTACAATTTTCTCTGGACATGATTTTGATATCTGAAGTTTGTTGTTAGAAAAGCATCCTCATTTTTCTTTTTTCCCCATCTGATTGCTTCAAGCAGGCTCAGCTTCCAGTGGACATGAGGCCATCACTGGCACCCAGTCGGCATAATAAAGTCCCTGTATCAGTTAGGCAGGTATGTAATGCTTTGAATTGTGTCTTTGCTTTCTTACAACCATGCTTGAGTATTCTTTGTTTAGTAGTATTCACTCTGCTCTTTTGATCTTTGGATACAAAAAATTAAAGAAGCACAGATGGAGGTGGATAATTCTTAAATATTTATTGTACAGGCACAGCTTTACCGCCTGACAGAACACTTCTTAAGAAAAGCAAATCTGCCCATCATTCGCAGAACTGCAGAAACAGAGTTGGCTGTTGCTGATGCAATTAATATTGAAAGAGAGGTTGCTGATAGGTCAAACAGCAAAGTAGTATATTTGAACTTGTGTTCCCAGGAGATATTGCATCGTTTGGATGACAGCAAGTGTGTTAGAGCCAAAGAATCAGATACTTCATCCCCTTCAGAAATCTCTGTTGGTAGGCAAGACCAAGTTAATGATGCATGTTCAACAGATCCCGTGGTTTTGGAAGCACTTAGAAATGCAGGCCTTTTGTCTGATTCCCCTCCAAGTAGTCCACATCATAAAACTGAGGTCCCTAATGAGGTAGATGATTCCTCAGTCAAGATCAGGGAAGAGGAGCCTGATAATGTATTTGAAATGGATACTCATTTGGAGGCAGATATTTATGGTGATTTTGAGTATGATCTAGAAGATGAAGATTATATTGGTGTTAGCGCTGAAAAGGCTCCTAAGTTACAACCTGAAGAAGGTGTGTCAAAAATGAAAGTAGTTTTCTCCACTTTTAACATGGAGAGGTCAAAATCAAATAATCTTGCAGATTCCGAGGATCATGAGAAGTTGGGGAATTTTGTGGTACCCAATGAGTCTTCCTGTTTGCTGAAGAATAACAATGATGCTGTAATCAAATGCTCCACTGTGGATGACGGGACTGATAGGTCTTGTGCTGTTCTGGAATCCTTACATGATGAGGAAGGTGAAGAGCTTTCCATTGCAGAATGTGACGAATTATATGGTCCCGACAAAGAGCCACTGATAAACAAATATTCAGAAGCATCCCAAAAGATATATGGGTTGGTTGATGCAGAAGCTCTAGCAGAGAATACAGCTACTGAAGATAATGAAAAACATGGATTGCACCATATAGTAAATGCATCTGAACCTGGAATTCAGAGCAAGGAAGGAAATAAAGTTGTTGACACTCTTGGTCATGGCTCATCTGGTGGAGAAAGTTCTGCTGACCAAATTCAAACAGGTGAAAATGTTAAAAAGAAAGAAAAGAAATCCAACATGGAGACTGACAAACAGTCTAACGGTGATAATCCTGTATCCAAGAAGGTACTACTTAATGCCATCCTTTTTGTCTTTTTTTTTTCTCCCGATGCATGCAATATAGAATTCTTGGTTGCTATAGTATCAATTTCACAAAACTGATTAGGACCACAGAAATCTTCTGTATATTAGGGCTTGTTTTCTTTGCGGACTTGCATTCTGCTGCTCAATACTTATATAATGCTTTTCAGGTGGAGGCCTACATCAAAGAACATATCCGGCCACTCTGTAAGAGTGGTGTGATAACAACTGAACAATATAGGTGGGCTGTGGGAAAAGCCACTGAAAAGGTTATGAAATACCACTTAAATGCCAAGAATGCTAATTTCTTAATCAAGGAAGGTGAGAAGGTAAAGAAACTTGCTGAGCAATACATCGAGGCAGCCCAGCAAAAGGAAAAAACTGATCCTCTATGACGACATTCATTTCCACTTTTATCTAATTCCTTAGTGCTCTTGCACGTTGTTTTAGACCCTCCACAACCCCCCCCCCCCCCCCCCCCGGCTTTTGCTTTTTGATCAGTGTGAATTGCAGATTGTTGAGGCCTCGAGGAATCCAAGCTGACAGAAAGGTGGCTCACGCATCATGTAAATGGAGAATTCGACATAATCAAATTTGATTACCAGGCCTGCCTTGGATGTATATTTGCCCTCATTGTCATAGCTCTTGAGATTTATGGTGACGATATGTTAGGCCAACGCAAGTTGTCCAGGAAATGTATATTTGCTGCTGAGATTTTCAATGTTAAAAGATGGTGACATCCGCTATGCGTACAGTATCAGAGCATGGATGACGTTTGTTTCTCGTTAAACTCAACAAGCGCATTGATAATTCCATTAATGTCTGCTTATTTTATTGGACTGTTTTAGAGTATTGCACTTTTGCTGAAGGACTCAGTTGATCTCTGAAATGTTTTATAAAAAAGTAAAATTTAACCTGTAAGAAATTTCAATAAAGTGATAAATGTAATAAAAGTTGTTATCAGAATTAAATTATACGAGTTTAATAGGATTGCTATGGATGATATATAAATAAAGACTTTTGTGATACATGAAAGCTTAATATTATTATCTTGAATAGGCTGCTAGTAGAATATTATTCTTTAATTTCTTGCAAAGTTGTAGATTACTGTTTTTTTAACAGAATCCTACTAATTTAGATGAATGAAATTACAGATATCTATATATATATATATATATTATATATAAAACAGCCTTCAAATATCCTAAGGTGGGCTGCGCTTTTATTTGGGGCAAAGTGTTCTGGGCGAAACTTTTTTTTAAAGAAAAGGGTGGGCCGAGCTTATCAAAGGCCAGTCACGCCTGACCCAAATTTATTTACTCTTTCAGATTCTGGATCTGGATAAGCTGAAACCTGGAAACCAACTACCAACTCCCATTTCTTCTTCAGTTCTTCCTCCTTTCAATTTATCGAAAACCCTAGTTGGATAAACCCTATTCTGCAATTTTGGTGAAGGAAAGTGATGGAGAATATTGGTTTATTCCAATGCCCCATTTTAAAAACCTAATGCTCTCCTAGTTTGCTGAAAAAGATGACCACTATTGACACTCTCATCTCAGCTAGGGTTATTTTTCCAAAACCCTACTCTACTCCTACCAAATCAACCCCCAAACGAATAAAGCCCTTGAATTTGACCCGAAATTTCGAATCAAGAACTTCATTTCTTCATCGATCGTTCACGGTTCTTTGCGAATTACAATCCTCACATCCCGGTGACAAGGGCAAGCCCAAAGGGGATGATTTTGTGACAAGGGTTTTGAAGGAAAACCCTAGCCAGGTGGAAACCCGGTTCCTAGTTGGCAACAAGATTTACACCTTGAAGGAAAAAGAGGATTTAAGTAAAGGTACTAATCTGGGTTTGATTGAAATTTTGAAGAAAAAATTGAATTCAAAAGAGACATTGAAAAATGAAAGCAATGAGAATGAAAGAGAGACTGAAATGAATAGTGAAAATGACAATGTGTATTTGAAGGATATTTTGAGGGAGTATAAAGGGAAGCTTTACGTGCCAGAGCAGATTTTTGGGGCAGAGTTATCTGAGGAGGAGGAATTCGAGAAGAATTTGGAGGAATTACCCAAAATGAGCTTGGAGGATTTTAGTAAAGCTATGAAGAATGATAAGGTTAAATTGTTGACTTCCAAGGAGGTTTCTGGTGTTTCTTATGTAGGTGGGTATAGGGACTTTGTTGTGGATTTGAAGGATATTCCTGGTGACAAGAGCTTGCAAAGGACTAAATGGTGAATTTTAACATGGCTCGCGATTTTTTTATGTTGTATTTCTTTGCAGTTCTCTGATAATATGTCTATACGGTTTGTGTTATCTTTGTAGGGCAATGAGGTTAGACGAGAGTGAAGCTCAAGCTCTTTTAAGTGAATACACTGGACAACGATATGAAATTGGGAGGCACATGACGGTGATCAATCATTTAACTCCTCTTTCATTCTCTAGTTATAGATGAAATTGCTATCTATGAGTATTTTATAGATTAAGTACCAGATGGCTGTAAGGATGCCATATTTTGAAAGCCATGGATTCGTTCACTATGTACCTGTGTATTGATGTATAAATACCTTGGTTGTTTATGATAGCCATAGACAAATGCTATATTTTTACTTGGTATTTTGTGTAAATACAGTGTGCAGAATGCAGATCATTATGCATATCATAGGCATTGAAGCATTTTTGGTGCATGAGTGTTGGGTGATCTATATCATTTTGGTTCCTTTATTAATCTCCATTACGACTTAAATTTGTGCTGCAGTCTTGGGTGGGAAAAGTACCAGAGTATCCTCATCCAGTGGCATCTTCCATGTCCAGCAGAATGATGGTAGAGCTTGGAACGGTGACTGCCATAATGGCTGCAGCAACAGTTGTTGTTGGAGGGTTCCTAGCAGCTGCTGTATTTGGTGTCACCAGTTTTGTCTTTGTAACAACTGTATATGTTGTATGGCCCATAGCGAAACCATTTGTTAAACTTTTTCTTGGTATCATCTTCAGTATATTAGAGAGGCTTTGGGATAATCTTGTTGATGTGTTCAGTGAGGGGGGGATTTTGTCCAAGTTGTATGAAGTTTATACTTTTGGTGGTATATCTGCTAGTCTTGAGTTGCTAAGACCAATCACATTTGTCCTTTTAACCATGGTTTTGCTTGTCCGTTTCACACTTTCAAGCAGACCTAAGAACTTCAAGAAATGGGTAAACATTGCTCATCTCTGCAATTTTTATTGTTGAATCTGGTTTATTTATTGTAAAGAGTTTGGAATAATATTGTTTATAAAATGGCAGGGTCTATGGCAAGGCATTGATTTTTCTCGATCTAAAGCAGAAGCTCGTGTTGATGTTAGTATTGAAATATTACTTGTTTGTCTTTATCTTACCTGAGCTCTGTATTGCATATCTAAAGCTACTTTGAAAGTCTATTCTTTCAGGGTTCAACTGGAGTTAAGTTTAGTGATGTGGCGGGCATAGATGAAGCAGTTGAGGAACTTCAAGAGGTATCCTTTTTTCCATCTTGAAATATTGATGAAGGAGAAGTAGGCTTTCCTGTTTGAGTTTTGCGAATTTTCTTTCTTTTGCCATTTCTCATCTTCTATGTCATGTATATATATATATATATATATATATAGCTATATTTTTGGATGAGAGTCTTCTGTTATAATTAATGGTGTCTTGTTAATTCTTAATATTTTTCTATTAGTTGGTGAGATATTTGAAGAATCCAGAATTATTTGATAAGATAGGAATAAAACCTCCTCATGGGGTTCTTCTGGAGGGCCCCCCCGGGTGTGGCAAGGTCAGCTTTTTGTTAACAGTTTTGCAAAATGTGCTGTGGAATTTCCTTACCTATCTATCTGAAGTATCTCATACTTTTCCAGACCTTAGTTGCCAAGGCTATAGCTGGTGAAGCAGGTGTTCCATTCTACCAAATGGCAGGCTCAGAATTTGTAGAAGTTTTAGTCGGTGTTGGTTCTGCTCGTATCAGGGATCTATTTAAGAGAGCCAAGGTAATAATTCTGTAATTTTTTAATCTTTGTTTGCTACTGGAACAAGTAGCTGTTAATCATGGTGGAGTCCTTGTAATCTAGATTCCATAATTTGATACTTTATCTTGAAGAAAGTTGTTGGGCATCACTATAATAATTGAGAAAACAGAGAAATATTGCAGACTTTTGGGGCACCCTTGAAATTAGCTTACCATATTACTACTGCATTATTGGTTTTCGTGTTATAAGTGCTGGATTCGTTTTATTTACAAATGCTTGGTGGTGTTATGTGCTTTGGATCTTCTGTTGAGAAATTCATGATTTCTCTCTGCAGGTAAACAAACCATCAGTTATATTCATTGATGAAATTGATGCTTTAGCAACTAGGTATGGTAATCTTATCGTAACTCCCTGTTTTTTGCTTTTGTTTTTATGTGCACAGAACATCTTGACACCACACCATTTGCTAACATCTTCTGTGAAGGCAAACGAAATATATGCTTCGCAAATATTAGTTGGAACTAAGCTGTGCATATTTTGCATCTGACTTAAATCAAGTGCTTGGAATTGGAAATATAATGGGTTAGCTTGTATGTTATTTAATAAAACTCTGAGAATAGGCCAGATTCGGTGTCTTTTACTGGACTAATTTCATAGTAACTATGAGTAGGACCAATTGACCAACGTTAATGGACAGGAGATAAACTTAGCTGTCTTGTAGATCATATGTGAATAATTTTGGGTTATTTTCTCTTTCTTTCTTTCTGATCAGGCGTCAAGGGATTTTCAAGGAATCAACCGATCACCTGTATAATGCAGCCACTCAAGAGCGGGAAACTACATTGAATCAGCTACTAATAGAGCTTGATGGGTTTGATACTGGGAAAGGTGTTATATTTTTAGGTGCTACAAATCGTAAGGATTTGTTAGATCCTGCTCTTCTTCGACCAGGTCGTTTTGATCGCAAGGTTGACTTCCATCACTGTATTAGCAAATGTAATTAGTTAGCACATCTTATCTGATAGAGAAATAATTAAAGGAAAATTCTAAACAAATTTGACATTTCAACCAACAGAGAAAGTTGTTGAAGTGTAACATTTTATTTTTTCTCAAGTATGTGCTTTTCTAAGAGTTATAATCATGCCTCATAGTCACACTTATATCCTCTCCTTTTCATCTTTCCTATGCACTCTCTGTTGGTTGGATCCGTTATACTTGAAGTGTGTTCATGAAGAGTCTCTTTGTTACTTTTATTTTATGAATTCCTTTGTAAGCTGTGGTGGTTTTATGTAGATAAGAATTCGTCCCCCAAATGCTAAGGGGCGATTGCAAATTTTGAAAATTCATGCAAGCAAAGTGAAGATGTCAGAGTCTGTTGATTTGTCTTCTTATGCAAATAACTTACCAGGTATGCATTCAACTTAATGATTTTTCTTAATTTTCTATTTTGATAAGTGAAATCATGTATTTTCTTAGTAAGATGGATTGAAACATGGTTGACTTGACTGGTTCATTTCTATTTTAATAACCAAAATAATGTATTTTCTTGATAGGATGGACTGGAGCAAAATTGGCTCAACTAGTCCAAGAGGCTGCTCTTGTGGCCGTCAGGAAAAGGCATGAATCAATTCTTCGGTCAGATATGGATGATGCAGTAGACCGACTAACTGTGGGACCTAAGCGTGTTGGTATTGAGTTGAGTCATCTGGGACTGTCTCATAGAGCAACTACTGAAGTTGGAGTTGCTATGACTTCTCATCTTCTTAGGCGATATGAAAATGCAGAAGTTGAATGTTGTGATCGCATCTCAATTGTTCCTCGTGGCCAGGTGCTACTTGTATCCTTATTTTCGATCGTCTTTTCTTTTTTCCCATCCTTTTCTTTTTACTATTTTTTTCTTTGAGAAAGTTAATGTTGATGCTTGGCCATCAAGCATGATTATAACTTCACCTAAAGTGAGACAAAATAAAAGCACATTATTGCTTGACATGCTCAGGGGCATAGCTAAAGGGATTTCCATTGCCAAACATGTGCCGATGTTTCAAGTGATTATTGACATTGATTGTTGACAATAAACTGTTTCAAGTGATTTATGCAGACACTATCACAAGTTGTGTTTCATCGGCTTGATGATGAATCATACACGTTTGAGCGCCGACCGCAGCTGTTGCATCGCCTTCAGGTGTGAATTTCAAGTTGGTAGTTATAATTTGATTGTATGGGCCCTTGTCTGGATTTTGTTGACATTCTTAATGTGAGTCGTCGTTTATGTGAAGGTTTTTCTTGGGGGAAGAGCTGCAGAAGAGGTCATTTATGGGCGGGACACCTCTAGGGCATCACTTAACTACCTTGCAGATGCATCTTGGCTTGCTCGCAAAATTTTAACCATGTTAGTTGTTAAAACTGCTGCATGCTTATAATCTTTCTACCTGTGGGAGATGGTGTTAATATCAGGTCTTATGTCTCTTCCATCAGATGGAACTTGGAGACTCCAATGGTCATACACGGAGAACCACCACCTTGGAGAAAGAAAGTTAAATTTGTGGGTCCACGTCTAGACTTTGAAGGATCTCTTTACAATGGCTACGGCCTAATTGAACCTCCTGTCAACTTCAATTTGGACGATGAAACTGCAGAGAGGAGTGAGAAACTACTACGTGATATGTATGGAAGGACAGTTTCTCTTCTTAGGAGGAACCATGCAGCTTTGCTCAAAGCAGTAAAGGTAATATGATTTGCTGTCATCTCCTACTCGCATTATGTTTATTTGAAATGAATGAGCTAGTATCTCAAGTAGTAAAAAAGTTCCAAGAAATAAGACTTCATGATTGATAAGAAATGAGTCTACCCTTACCCAGGAGAAGGGAAAGCTTCACTATTTTTGAATGGTGATAAATTTTTATTAAGAGATGTAAAAAATGAGCAAGGGATAGGCATGGAACGAAAACAACCAACCCAGAAACAAATTTAAAGCCCCTTCCCTATAACTCAACTAAGTGAACTCTCTAGAAAAAAAGCGAGAGGAGGTTTTTCCCTGTCAACTCTTTGAAATTTTATGGAAAGCAATTGACTTGTATTTCTTCTCTGCTGCTTCAACCCTTGGGAAAAGTTTCATTTGGGTTCAGTCTTTTTTCTTGCATGGATTGTTGAGCAGCTGTGTCCTATAACCATTGCACTTTGTTTTTGCAGGTTCTTCTCAATCAAAAGGAGATCAGAGGGGAGGAAATTGACTTCATTTTAGATAAATATCCTCCTCAAACTCCGTTGAGTCTTCTTTTGAAAGAGGAAAACCCAGGCAGTCTTTCTTTTATCAAACAGGAACAAGAGCTTGACTTTGAGCGTGTGCTGCCAACTCATTCAACGTCAGAAACACTTTGACCACGGCGGATGCAGCTGTAGCCCGTGTGACATTGACGCGGGCTTTTCAATTTTCTTGGTCCTATTTCTTTGGTAAAGAAGGCCTGCTTGTAGCACAGGCTACAACAAAGCTTATTGCACGAGGGCACATCATGTAGTAGTAATTTTTTGGTGCATACATCGTCTTTTTCTTCTTCATCTGTTCATACAAGTTGGTTTCTGATTTTTTTTTTTTTTACTTGTCAACGTAATTAATTCAAAGATTTTCAACTGAATAACCAAAGGAAGTCATACACTTCTTTTACTATTTCTTTCTTCATTTATATCAATTAAAACTTTAAATCTTACAATAACGTTCTTGGAATGCATCGTAAGGCATCAGGACTGACGAAGTAAGCGGGGTTTGGATGGCAGAGATATTGTTTCCGGAAGATTTGGATTCGAGGCTGAAATAACCCACAAACAAAAATGGAAATTTCCTAACCTCCCCTCCTATCTTTAAAAAGCCCATTGGCTACTTTTGTTTTGTTTTTCTTGCTCTCTGTCCCGCTGGTCTTTCCCCGCAAGAAGCCAAGGCCAACCGTCGGTACAATTTCTGATGGAAACAAAAATTTCCTTCCTCCAGTCATTCTCTCTCTCTAAGAAACCCTTTTTCGCTCTGTGTCCTTGTATGGATGAGACATGAATGGGCTTTCCGTCGTGTACGTGACGTGCAAACAACAGCAACAACAACGAGGAAAACAAGACCGACAGAGACATCATCAACAACAGCAACTCCATTAATAGAAGAGTTTCTATCAACTTTCCTTGTCTATTATTGTTTCTCTTTGGTGCCTCGTCTTCTTTTTCTACTCAAGATTTGGAATCAACCATGAATATGGAGGTTAGAATTAAGAACAATTCTTGCTTGCTCGTTTCCCTTTCTCTTTCCCTACCCTCTTCTTTATGGTTTATTTCTAGCAAACCCATTTTTTTTATTAATACAATAATAATGTTAAAGCCTTTAATTTAGTTCTTAAACAATTCTGAAAACAGCATGTTAGTTAGAAATATTTTTCTTAACAATCAAAGTTTTACTGTGCCTTTTCATGATTTTATTTTCAGTTGTTATCACTCACAACTTTTTCCATTTATTATTTATTCAAGTTATCCTTGTCTTATTTTGTCTATTTGTTCAAGCTTTTTCAAGCTTCCAACCTGATTTAGTTGACCCTTTTTTCCACTTATAATCAGTGACTAACATCTTGGATATATTGAGTTCTTTGGCTTTGTGCCATATCTGACCATAAGCTTTGCCTTTTAGCTCAGACTGCATAAGGTTATAAGCCTCCAATGTGGGGTTGCCATGATGAGCAACTCAGATAAATCTCACTTCAATGAAGCCTTAATCCAAACTGACTACTTCAGTCTCCCATTTTATATATATATATATATATATATATAATGTTGTGTCATTTAGCTTTTGTTATGAGTTTTTATTATGGTTTTTGTTAATATTCACATATATAGGAGGTTAGGAGTGAATATCACTCCCAAATACACGTGCCATGCAAGTATCTGTGCTTTTCAAAGATAAGAACCTAAGTCAGTTGTTCATATATTTATTTTGATATTAATTCAAATTTTGAGGTGCATCAAGACTTCATTTGGCATGGATATAAGTGCATTTCCATTCAATAGCTGAGAAATCCTCTTTTTGCATTTGCATTGTTTAGAACAGCTTCCAGCATTTGGCCATGGAAGTAGGTTTTCCAAAAAGGTTAATTTCCCTTTTATATAAACTTTGCATGCAACTTTCTTGTCTAACATTCTTCCCTCCCCTTTTGCTCCTCTCCCTCCCCAACAGATTAGAAGCTGAAAAGGTTAGAAGCTGAAAAGGTTGTACGTGATCAGGCAAGTTCGGAAAGTATGGGTGATTGGGTGAGCAATTGATCGGTTCAGTCAATTCAATATAAAAAAATTAATAATAAAATTAATCGATTTTCATTTTAAAAGTAACTGAATTGACTAACAAAATTTTAAATAACTGATTTAATTCAACCAGTCAAAAATCGGTTTGGTTAGATCAATTTGGTTAAATAATTGAATTTTTCATCATATTTTTCCTATTTTAAATAATTATTTAGTTACAAATTCGATATAATAAAACTCAAATTTATGTATCATTCAAATTAAATTACGAATGAATTTAATAATTTCAACAATATTTTACAAAAAAAAAGACAAATAAATACTCATTCCAACTTGTTTAATCCAAATAAATTAAACAATAAGTTCTAAAAAGTATTACTCTAACATATATTAAATAACAAACAAAACCAATAATACAAAATAAATATCATTTCAACAAATAAATAAGTTTTCAAGTGTAAATAGGACAACTTAAAAAAGTAAATCAAGCAAATATAACTCTTATAACTTTGGTTCAAAACATAAAAGAGATTTCAAGTTGGCAAATTAAGTTAACAGTTCATATAAAATATACAACAAGCTAAGGACACTTCAAGTTGGCAAATAAATATAAAAGTTTATAAAAGACATAAAACAAGTTAATTAAAGGACATTCCAAGCTCCAATAGCATTTTTCATACATGAATCCCATAGCTTTGGTGTGTATTCTTCATTGTTTCCTAAGAAGTTAAAGAGACCAAAATCTTAATTAGCTGTCAAAAAATAAAATAATATTTTTTAAATGCAAATATTCATAGAAATTAATAATGAAATTACCTCAAAAGGTCAATGCACCTTTTTTCTTAATTAATTACTAGATCTAAAGTAATTTTTGACAAATCTAAAATTATATAAACAAAAAATAACAAAAGTAAGCTTTAAACAATTAAAATAATAAAAATAATAATACTTAAAAAATAAATGATGGTATAAATAAAATATTACCCAAATCCATTTTGTCAAGCCATGTCAAATCATCTTCAAGTTGAAATGAATTAAGATTAGAAGAGTTACGTAGCTAATCTTGAGCACAAATAAGGGTTTGCATAATTTTAAAAGTTAAAAGAACTCTTATATGCATCAAGCATATTACCATCAATGCTAAAAGCAGATTTGAAAGCAACTATAGATATGAGAATTGTCAATACATCACGAGCTAAAGGATAGAAACCTATGGCTATTGAGTTTCCACCAAGTTAAAACATCAAAATCATCACTATCATCATCATCAAGCTCCTTACTAAAATATTTAGCCAATTTTGATTTATGTTCATCTTTGTCATGTTCAATCCTATACCTTTTATACTTGGACTTAAAGTTTTGCTTTTTTTTTTTGTCATTCAATTTTCACTTTCATCATTGGTGGGCAATGACATTTGGCTCATTTGACTACTTTCAACAACTTGCTTAGACTGAGATTCTAATATTCTTTTGTATTCATTGAACAAGTCTTCTATTACTTGTTGTACTTTCTTAATCATTAATGAAGTTTCATCAGAAGAATACATTTTCATTAAGCAATATTCAACAAAAAGAACCTTTTTTTAAGGATAAAAAAAGAAGCAATATAAACCAATAGATTCATCTTCTCTATATTTCTCCAATACTTATCATATTTATCCTTCATTCTCTTTGTTATTACATTTAACTTAACATCAGAATTTAATTGCCATTCTCACAAAATGGAATAAACATCGTTTATATCATTAAGAAAAGTATTAGTTATGACGTAAAAAGTACCTGAAACTTTCATGGTGAAATCATAAAATTGTTCAAGAAAAGGCAAAACTTCCTAATAGTTGCCCATTTTTTTTATGCGGCACCCCATCTCCCATTGAAAGCTTACCTCTATAATAAGGATTAAGATCATCAAATGTATCAAATTCCTTTTTGAACTTTTAAGCTGTATCCAACATCAAATAAGTAGAATTTCATTTATTGTTAACATCCAAACATAATAAACTCTGCTAACATCCAAACACAATAAACTTTTACTTTAAATATGTTCATTCACAAAACACTTTTTAAACTTGGCTAACTTAAAAGGTGATTGTCTCATATAGCTTATTGCCTTTCTAACATGAGCAATTGATTCATTCATTTCCTTCAATTTATCACAAATAATAAGATTCACAATATGTGTATTGTATCTTAAATGAAGATATTTGCCTCCCAAAATACTAGTTCTAGCATTGTTGATTTTTTTCCTTAAATATGCAATTGCAACATCATTAGAACTGGCATTATCAACTATAACAATGAAAATCTTATCAATCTCCTAATCACGCAAACATTTCTCAACCGTTTTACCAATAGCTTTACCTTTGTGAATAGAAATGAGACAAAAATTTAATATAGTTTTGTTTAGTTTCCAATATTTGTCTATGAAATGAGTCGTAAAACACATATATTTGACTTTTTGTAATGAAGTCCATATGTAAGTGGTAAGAGATACTCTTATGGAAGATAATTTCATGAATTGCTTCAAATGATTCTTTTCATCAATATAAAGTTGATAGCAATCCCTAGCAACTGTTTATCTTGATAGTATACGAAATCTAAGACATGCAACTGACATGCAATATTTAAATCTTTATCGCCTTCACAATTTTAAATAGTAATTCATCTAGAATGATCATTTTAGTTACACATTTTCTAACAACATCTTGATTAAATTTTCATGTGCCTTAAAGATTCCACTCTTTCTTATGGCAACACCAATTTTATTTGAGTATCATCATCTTCACTAGCACAAGAAAACTTTTTATAAGAATTCATGTGATTCTTTAACGTAGTGGTTCCATTCTTTTTAAGATCAACAGAAAATTCTCTATCACTATAATTACACTAGCTTTACGATTGCCTTCTTCGTTGACAAATTTAATGAAGTGGTCCTATACTTCTAACTATGGCTTAGATGCTCGTTTTGTCCCTTTAGAATTTACAGCTTCACTTCTTGTTACTTTATTGCATGCAGAAAGTTGAGATGTTAATTGTGTTTAATTAGAAGTAGAATCCAAAGTTATATCATTCATTTTATTTGACATCTTAAAAAAAAAGTAATCAAATTATATCCAAATAATAAAAAAAATAAATAATTAAATTATGTTTAAATAATGAATTAAAGTAAAATAATATAAAAAAGTACAAGCACTCATATTAATTGAGCTGTTTAAAGATTAATTGCATTTAAAGCACACTCTACAATTATATGAAGGTAAAATTAAAAAAAGCAAATATAGTAAAGTGTGATATTATTTTGATGGTACTCATATTAATTGTATGCTCAGTTTAGTCCAAAGAATAAACAACGACTTAAGTTTTAAACAATAGACTAAAACCTTAAGTTGAAATAAACAATAATAATATATATTTTTTATACAAGCAAAGTAAACAAAATAATTCTTATCCAAAAAACAAATTACTTAAGTCTTAAACAATAGACTTAAACCCTAAGTTGAAATAAACAATAGTAATAATTCTTATCTAGTCTTTGTAATAGTAATAATAATATTTAATAAAATAGTTTATCAACCATTTTTAAGTGATTATGGACTATACTCTCTAAATTTGAGTTCCATAATTATTATTTTTAAGTAATAATAATATTTAATGAAATAATAATAATACAGTGGCCACATAATATTTGGAACGCCATTGACTATACTTTCCAGACTTGAGTTCTAGTCATAATGAGACAAAAATCCACCTATAGAAGGATGGCTTAAGATTTTAGCTTAAGGTGCCCATAAAGTAACCACCAACCCATTTTTGTTGGTATACTATTGTGATTTAAGAACCCATGGGAAATTGATTGGAGATTATATATTCAAGCTTTCAAAGGTAATAAATTATAAAATTAACAAGAATATATAACTTTTTCTTTTTGGATTAATTGGTTTTTAAAACATTTTTAATATATTATTCAATCTTTAATTTTCCCTTATCATTTTTTTCTAATTTTTACTCAAATAACTACATCAAAAGGAAGTGTAAATCATTGTCAGCTCAATTTCAAAATAGGTAAATTGTTTTTTTTTTTTTAATTGTTTAGGGTTTAGCATTGATTCATTAAAGAAAATAAAAAGATCATTGTGTTTATAGGATCACAGTAAAGGAAAAGAGAAAGGTTATCAGGGACTTACGGTGGCCATAAGTCTTATGTAGTACAGAAAAATCTCTACAACTGTCAAACTTTGATATTATACAGATCATGTGTAGCAAATTAGAGGTGAGAAAGGCAAATATGCAAGAGAGGTAAAGAAGCAATCGAGCAAGAGAAGAAGGCAAAAATGTAAGAGGATGAAATATAGTTGAGCAGAAAGGGGATGATGTGGGTGGATCTTGATAGGAGTTAGAAAATGTGAATTAAATTTAAGGTTTTTTTAAGGGGAACATACATATTTGCCTTTAGTTATTATACAGTTGATTAATTTT